GCAGTAACGTAGGCAGCTGGGTTGATGAAGAGGTCACCCTAGAAGATGGAGGAGGAGATATTGTACACAGCCCTGGTAGAGAGATTCTACCTTGGCTCTAAGAATGGCTGCCTCTGTTGGTTCTCCTGAGGGCACTGCTTTGGGAAGTCACAAGGCACGGGTGAGGTGGGACTCTGTTCTGAGGTAGCTTGTCACATCAGTTCTAACTCAGAATATTAATTTTACTGCCCAACAGTCCTGTGGCTCCTCCCTCTGCTAACCTGAGCCTGTCCCGTTGAGATCATGGCTTCCCACCCATCCCACAGATGCCCAGAGGAAACAAAAGGACGCCAGTGGCCTTAGGCCTCACAGCTGGGCGTCGGTCCGCCGAGGGCTGGGAGTGGGAACAGGGCCGGGCGGAGCAGGGAGGATCTCTGCGGGGCCGCCTCTGTTCTGGGAGAAGCCTGTCCCCGAAGGTCTAGCAAAGGGTACTCACCTTGACACCTGCCCGTTCCTGGGATTTCTTGCTCCGGCCACACCTCTCAGATGAAGGCCTCACCCCCAACAGTCTCCTGAGGCGGAAGTCAGAAGAGGCTACTTCCGGCCACGCCCACAAGCTGCCCCCCACCCCCACCCCCAGGACAACAGCAGAAGCAGAACTCTAGCAGTTCTCTGTTTGGGGGACAGAAGGTTTGTTGAGAACTCACATAGGGTCCTTTCTTTGTCTTTTCGCAGGCGATGAGACTTCTCTCTCTGCTGAACTACTCAGTCAGCAAAGACCAAGGATTTCATTTCCCTGAGAGTCCAGAGTAGGGAGTGAGGTGGATCCTGAGCCCAGAAGCCATGCCCGTGACCTCCCAATATTGACAGTAGGATGGAGCTCTGCAGGGTCCCCATTGTTGGGTAAATAGTGCCCTCAGAATCCTCACTCAGTGCCTTTCTTTGACTCCTTGTAGGTGCTGGGCTACCTCCTCTCTGCTAACTTGAGGGCAACCCATCAGGTAAGGCATTAATTCTCTAAATATGGAGAATTGACATCTATACAATTTTGTGTTCACCATGAATAAACATAGCATATTGCTCCCTTTGGAACAGATTTTATGTAAGTCTATCAGAAAATTTTTATGTTTATTTCAATAAAGTTTGTGTATATTTTCATTAAGACTCTTTGAAGGTATATTTTGGATGTTGCTGCTCTTTTGAATGGGATATTTTCCATTACATTTTCTCATTAATACTTTTTTGTGTGATTAGATTCCTGATTTTACTGTAGTGATCTTCTGCACCACACTTTTGAATTTCCTTATACATTTGAACTTTTTGTGTGCTGATGTTTGTAGAATTTTTAATTAGATGATCATATTACCTCTTTATTTTCATTTTTCATAACTTTTCTTTGGTATTCTTGTATATACTGGCGGTGCCACCCAGTTCAAGTTTGACCAGTAGAGTTGCCATTATACCACTGTGTCTTTTTCTGGACTATCAGGAATGCTGCTAACATTCCATATTTATGTATGTTTGCTGTTGATTTTGTGATATGGAAATTCCATTTTAATGAAGTTTGCTAACATTTCTTAACATGAACTGGTGTTGAATCATTACCAAAGGCTTGTCCTTTATCCCTACACGTGATCAGATGCTTTCTCTTCTCTGTTACCATAGTGGATTCCAATTCACATTTTTTCTAATGTAATTTGATCTTTACATTTCTTAGACATAGCCCATTTCCCAGTTGCTTCAGTGCTGTATTATTCACTGCTGTATTAAATATGCTATAAATTTGTTTAGAATATTTGTCTGTGTATGAGTGAACTTGGCTCAAATGTTCTTTTCTTGGAGCATCCTTATCTAGTTTTTTATCAATGACAGCTAGCCTGTTAAAGTGATCAAGTATTTTCATATCTTCTTTTCTGGTTTGTAAGACTTTTCTTAATGTGTTGATGAGTTTTTCCTTCAGCATTTGGTGTAATGGGCTTCCAAACCTGGCTGGTCTTGGAAGACTTTGTGGGTGCCCAGGGCTGGACTACAGTTTCAGTTAGTATGGTGTAATTAAAGTTTTCTATTTCTTTATCAGCATACTACTAATTTATATTTTTGTTAAAATTGTTCTATTTTACTTGAGCTTTTAAATTTAAGGGCATAATATTTATAATAAAGTCATTTTATTATGTAAATTCTCAAGCATATAAACATTACAGAGTATAGAATAATAACCCAATGTGCTTGACACTGAGCACGATAATCTTCAGTAGTTATAGGGAGAACCTTGTTCATATTAAGGTTTATTTATTTATTCATCTGTTTGTTGGAATGACCACTGCAGAGGTGATGCTATGCACTTCCATTAGGAGATGCATAGTGTGGGTTGTTACCTTTGTGGTGATGTTGCAGTCACACTCAGGATCATCACCCTCACCCATTAATCTATTAAGGGCTGCAGAATTGTAATTCTCAAATTCTATCATAACTTTAGAGATTATTGGCTAAAATGTATCTATCAGGAGAATAATTTGTTAACGTCCATTTGGTTTTCTGACAATTGGCTCATTTTACTGCCCAGAAAGATAACAAAAACTAAATCTCCCTTTCTCTCAATAATATCAGAAAACTCTTTATTCCAAAATTTTAAAATATATATTTTTATAATTTTCACTAACAAAAAATCTTGCTTAAGAATGATACAAGTTAATAACTGGTCAAATAATTTAACTATTATTAAAGATTATTAATGAAAAGTTTGGAATAATCATTGTTCAGGCCCTAGTCTTTGTAACATGATATATTACTTGTGCCTACAGATAGTTATAATTTTAGAAAACATAGATATTTTACTGTGAATTTAAAGCTACATTTATTTGAAGGAATTTAGTTTCTATGTTTTTCTTCTACATAGCAAAGCAGTCAATGTGCCAGTTGGGTTTTATTATTATCTTTATAAATTCTAATGTGAGTATGTTAAGCGATATGAGTGCTGCTATTATCTTAGTTTGTATGCATGTAGACCTAAAAGATGAATTAGAGCACTCTTCCTTCTGGATTCACAAACTTATTCAATATAGGGTGTTCCAGTGGACTTTATATCAAGATTTTTTCATTAATGTGTGAATACAAAAATATTCATTTGTTTGAAGTATTATGCTAATATGTAGTCTCAATTTATAAAGGAAATTTTCCAACTTCTCAACTCACTTGTTAGTAAATCAAATATTTAGATTTTTCACTGAATATTTACTTATTGAGCTTGTAACCTTTGGAACACACCTGGTAATGTAAAATTTTGTAGATCAAAGGCATTCGACTGTGGGTAAGGAGTTTTAGGTTCTTGTACTGGTTTGAATGTGTTCCCCAAAGTTCATGTGTTGAAAACTTAGTTCTCAATGTAATGATGATGAGTGGTGTGACCCACATTTATTCACCATCAAATTATTTTAACTGATCAACACTTATGTGCACATGTAGTAGTACCATTCATTGGGTGTTGAGTGGGTGGGTGGGGGAGCAGGGAATGAGTATGTTCACACCTAAAAGCTCTGATTCAGGTGAAGCAAAGGCAATATAGGTAACCTAAACATTCGTACACACTTAATAAGCTGAAATAATAATAAAAAAAAGACATGAAGAATTCATGAGGGCTCTGCCTTCATGAGTGAATTACTGCTGTTACCTTGGGAGTAGATTAGGTATCATGGGAGTGGGTTACTGAGAAAAGGATGAGTTCATCTGACTTCCCTCCCTCTTTTATGCATGCTGTCTTGTTCTTCTGTCTTCCCCCATGGGGTGACAAAGCAAGAATTCCCTTGCCAGATGCAAGTGCATTGACCTTGGGCTTCCCAGCTTCCTGAACTGTAAGAAATAAATTTCTTTTCTTTATGAAGTATCCAGTCGGTATTATTCTATTATACCAAAAAAATGGACTAAGACACTTATAAATCTAGGTTTATTACCATTCAGCTCTTAGAACTAATTTTAGAGCTTCTTATCTACTATTACTTCTCTCTCCCTGTTCCCTTATCTATCCAGTTCCTCTCTGAGTGATATGATAACAACTACTCAAGCAGAACAAGGCCTCTAGAGTCTGGCCACAACCTTAGCCTTACAGTGGTTGAAAGCCTTGTTCACCTTTACCCTGGATTCTGTTCCAGTCCAATTTTGGCTACTAATTGCTCATCCTTCAACCTGTTCTTTTCAATAAACTTTCAACAATTTCAGTGGCCATGCTGCCAATGAATGACTGAAGTTCTAATGGATTCCTCATCCCCAAGCCTCCTTCTCTTGATCACTGAGCATGTCTGGTCCTTCCTTATCTTAAGTTGTGAGCTCAAGGCAAATACTTCACTTGCCTCATCCTAGCAGCAGCTCTGGTGGTCCTAAAGGTTTAATACTAATCCTAGTCTGACATTCTTAAGAGCATTGTTCCTTAATTATATTGTTTTCAAAACTTGTTTTCTTTTATTTTAAAAATTTATTTGTTTTTTATTTTTATTTGTTTTAAATTTTAGGCATAATTTCACTGCCTGCCTCTGTGATCTTGAGCAATAAAATTACCCTATTTTAATCTCTATAAAAAATTTAAGGTAGAGAATAAGGATATTCTTTGTACTGAGTTATTGGAGGATTAAATAAAAATATATACGAGAAAACACTTTGTAAACTTTACAAGTTACTACTTGCTTATAAATATTTTTGGAATGAAACTTTAAGAAGGAACTAGAAAACAGCCTTTACCCACCTTTTCAGATACTGTGTGTGTTAGTTTTCTATTACTGCATAAAACATTATAAAAAATCACTGGCTTGAAATAATATCCACATATTATTTCACAGTCTTTTAGGAGCAGCTCGTTTTTGTTCTCTACTTAGGTCCTCAGTGTGAAAGTGTCTTGTTGGCTGGGCAGCATTCTTATCAGGAGGCACTGCACAAGGGTATACTTCAAGGATTTAGGCTGTTGGCAGAATCTAGTTCCTTGTGGTTGTAGGACTGAGGTCTTCGTTTTCTTGCTGTGTGCCAGACAGAGGCCACTATTAGCTACTAGAATTTGCCTGAATTCCTTGCCATATTGCCCTCTTCATACTCAAAGTCAGCAATGAAAAGTCTTCTTCATGTAAAATCCCCAGTAATTTGCATGCCTTTCTCTAGGAAGAGCCTGGTCCCTTTTAAGTGCTCACCTGATTAGGTTAGGTCTACCATGGATAATTTCCTTCTTAAAGGGAACTATGCCATGTAACACAACCTCATCATAGAAGTAATATCCAATTATATTCACAGGTCCCTCCTACACTCAATGAAAGTGGATTATAGGGTCATGTGAGTCATTGGGGAGAATCTTAAAATTCTGCCTATCACACCTAAAGAAAATAAATTATTGCAGAATTTCTGACAATATCAGTAGCTACAACTCCCAAGCTTCACATAATATACTTAATTTAGAATGAAAGTTGAAAGGATTTAAAGTATCTAATGCTATATATTTTTTTAGCTATCTTTCAAAGAATTGTGCTTGATGGCTGCTAGCCTCCCTCAAGTCACAGCTTCAATGGAATATTTGCCTCTACTGGCAAATTTCAGGCCTCTAATGTCCCAACTGAAAGGCTGAATTTAAATATTGAAATTCACAGCATCTATTGTTTCATCATTAATGTCTTCATGTTGTTTCATCAACTCCTAGATTATTTTCTTTTGGCTTATCATTTCATTAACAAACACAAAAACCAATCACCATGCCAAGAGTGGGTATGCAGTATGAATGAGCCTGCGTATACACCTTAAGTGTGCTAAACGGAAATCAACAGGAATTACAGCCTATTCAGTCTTCTTTCCATTACACTGACTTGAAATGTAAAAAGCAATAAATTACTCTTATTTTCCTGTATTTTCGAAGGCCATAGCAATGGTAATGTAACACAAGGAAGAGTGATGCATGGACTACTAAACTGGAGCCAGGACCCCTGGGTTTCAGGGATGGCGCAACTCCAGCATGCCTCTGAACTTGACCGTAACC